GACAGTTCTATCGAACTAGTTGGTCGAGACGAAGATGACTATTAGGTCGAAGAAATCGATATCAACGAAACTATCTATGTTAAGCAAGTCATTTCCAAAAAAATCACGTTGATAATGCAAACGAGACAAGGAATGTAAATTAATATTCATCAATTGATATTAATCGCGACAAGAGATTTTTTATGATTTTTATTGACAACTGAGGTTTTCATTGATGTTTCATACTCAGCGCTCTTAGATAAGCTGAAAAACATGAAGAAAAGCAATTGTTTAACAGTTTACTCTGACAGAAACTAATTTAATCAGTAGCTAACAATGTTTTTTTGATCGTCGTAAGGAATATGTGTGGACATTATTCTGTATAGCTAAAAATACATTGATCTCCTCCCACAAGAAATGATCTGAATCTATAAAGTATATCTATGAAAAAAAAAAGTTTTAATTATTTTCTGTGATCACTTTCGACGATATTAAGTGCAGCTGAGCTATACTTCCAGGAAATTATTAAAGATCCCACGAATTCGTTCAGTGATAACTGGTAAGTTTAGGTTTTCGAACACTATTTCGCGTATAATGGCAAGTATGTCCCTTAATAAATGACAAGCATTGAAAGTGTTTGTATTGTAAGTTAATCGGATTAGTAATAGAGGGATCAAATTATTGGTAGCATCAGAAGTGGACGAAAGTGAGCTGAGCTCACCCGAAATAAAGTTCAACACACTCTTACGGTTTTCCATTCTTCTAAATCAAGTTTGATGTTTTTAAAGAAGATGGTGTTATTGTGCATGCGACCTTCGATGCTGACTAATGCCAGTAAAAAGAAAGTTTCGAATGGTACTTGTTTCTAGAAACGAAAAATGATCAAGTCGTTGTTTGTACCAGATCATAAGCAAGCATGTTATGAAGAACAACAAGAGAGAGCTGTTTCTGATCCACTAACTTCATCACAGAATCTTTTTTCGAATTCTCCTAATCAAACTTATCTGCCTCTTCTTGTTTATTAATTGAGAAAACGATTAATACAACATCTGTTGCAGAAAATTATGGAAATAAATCTATGGCAGCAGATATTAGTGTATTTTGTGATGGTCTTCCTAGTCAACCAAAACTCTAGTTCGTATCGATCAGACCTTCAAAATTGTGTTTTTCAATCAAAATGGTTTGTGGATAAAAGTTGTTTAGAATTTTCTGTAAAAAATGATCGTGTTGATTGTTGTAATTATTGACATTTTTATTCATATGAAGCAAATAGTGGTGATGCTTTTAGTACTTGTGGTTATAGTAAATGGAAATGTGCATTAGAAAGCGGAACTGGTTTTATGTAAACAGGAACAATCTCAATCTGATGTTATTGCTATCAAGAATTTTGAATCATTCAAATGTTGCCAATAACTACAGTTAAGCATTATAAATTCGTTAGATGGTAGCAGATATGTACTGGTGCGACGTAGTCATGATCGATTAATTAACATTTCTTCAACATTTCTTTTATTAACTCGATAAGTCATTGATTTGCGAGGATTTTGAGAAAATGAAAAGTAAACAAGCTAACTCAGTTAAGCGCCAAATACAGATCATAATGGGGAAAGAATAAATTCTAGGTTGATAGTAAAAAAGTGTGACCAAGATTTTTGAATTAGAGAAATCTACTTGCTTTTATTTTAAATTTTTTAAATAACGCCTGCTGCAAAAATTTCTTGGACAAATGTGTATCTCTGTCTCATCGGCTCAAACCTGTTTCCGAAAACTCGAAAATATCTATTCAGAATCTACATTGAAAGCGCTTTTTAATTTTATATTCAAGAATTTTTTATGATGGCTTGTTTTGAGTAATGAATACATCTTTGAACAATACTAAAATATAGTTTGTAAAAACAATATAAAGTAGCAGTATCAGAGAAAGCTGAACTTTCAGAATTTTTTAATTTTCTTCATTGTGTTCCATAGTGTCTTGCTGCTCTTTTCTCTATTAGATGCACCATTTGATTCTCTATAAACGTGGTAGAAAAGAGGATGGCATTACTTTATATGATCTGATCAAAAAGTTGAAAAATAATGATCTAAAAAATAATATTCAGAATTGAATGTGAAAATAATACTGAACGGATGAAAGTTTTTCGAGATTCGAACGACGTCATCGAAAAAATCGAAATCACATGAAATAACGACTAAGAATGATCCAAAACACTCTCCTATAAATATGTTAGACCTCTTATCTTACTAGATCCTAGAAATGACAAACTTGGACATCGAACAAAAACAAAAGAACAGCAACTTGAAAGATGCCAACACCTCAGAAACTGATTTTTTCGATGTTATTTCAAAGAATTCTGTAATATTTTCCATGCAGTTTCTCTAGAACAGAGAGATTGATTCAATAACGAATAAATAAACAAAATCGCATTCAATGAACCGAAAGAAATCACAAAATACGGATGAATTAGTAACTTTGCAGTAGTCGTTTTTCTTTCACATCGCGCATTTTTATGCTAGTCAAAGATGTGTTCACTATTCAAAAACAAGCCACGATAGAACATTCTTGAAAATACAGTTAGAAAACGCTTTCGACGTAAATTTTGTGTAGATATATTCAATTTTTCGAAAACATGTTTTAGTCGATGAAAAATGGATATACATTTGTCCAAGAACTCTTGTAACAGGTGTTAAATACTGCAAACTGAACAAAACTATTGAAAATAACATAATCAAGCTGTATATACACGAAGGTTATTAGAAACAATTAGCATTTTGCTCTGTATAAAAATATGTCAATCACCTTGAATAAAACAGATTCCATATAAAATGTATTATAACAATTACGTGTTGACATTACTCGTCGACAGAATTTTTGTGAGGGATATTTATAATATATATGTTTTTTTTCATGTTTAGCAACTATGAAAAAGATGAGAAAAGTCAAACAATGAACTAAAACTGCTATTGGTTCGTTTAAAAATTAATGATTGAATAACGATGAAGAATTGTAAAGTGTTTTGATAATGAAATAGTCATATATGAATAGCGTATAAGTGTATTTTTTCAAATAAAAAATATAGAATATTCCTAATACTGACAATAATCAAATTGTAATCATTTATATTTTATGACACGGGAATACTTTGACCAAACTTATTATTATATATAGATATATTGGAAAGTCTAGTAGCTTTTTAGACAAATATGCATAGAATTAATTATCAGTGTGTAGATTTTAGAAAAGAATGACAAAAGTGTTTTGAGTAATGGCAGATTTAAAAACAATAGGTTAAAGTTTTTGTTTGTCAAATTCAGAGTTAATATTGTTGTTTATGTGTTCATTAGCATCATTAGAACTATATATATGGTATTAAAAATGTCAAAATTTTTCGTTACCAAGTATTTATTGAAGACAAAAAGAATATATAAATTGAATACAAAATAAACATTTATCAATGATTAGATTAAAAAAAAAACAATTTTTCATAGAATTAGTCAGATCAAATCGATCACAAATATGATTACAGATAAAGTTGACTCTAGTCCATAACAATCTATCTATGTATTTCACATCAACAAATTTTGCAATTCCCTATATTGTTTGCTCGGAATATAACCATCGTTCTATGTTGTAAAGTTTATTTTTATCTTTTTTTCTAGTTTTTGTCTTTGTGACATATCATTATTAGTATTCTTAGTTTTTCATTAACACCAAAGTTTCCTTTGACATCGGAAATGTAATTTACACATTTCAATGAATATGTTCTTATGATTACTGTTAGTATGTTCATTATATATTTGTTAAATGTATCTTGTTTTATTCAAAGAATATGAGATAAGTACAATGAGCAAGTGCATGGTTTTGACAACTTCTTCTTATTATCTAACTTCAATTTGTATTTATATTCAATCCACATTTATCCTAATAGGTTGTTTCATATTTTAATATGAAAAACAAAACAAAAAAAAAGTGAACATTGTATAGAACAAGAACAAGAAAAAGATATAAGAATAAGACTAAAAATAATAATTTTTTTCTGCATACTTTTCTGCTGATTTAAAGTTGCTTTTAATTTTTTTGTATCGATCAGATAACTCATTAAATATTTGATTAACAGAAAAAGAATAGAAATTTGCAGATGCATACAAAAGAACAGGAAAAAGGAAATACAATGAAGTTTTAATTGAAAGGTAAATACATTCCGATAGGAAGACACAGGAAATAGGACTCCGAATAAGGCGAGATACATTCATCTTATAGAACGAATTTCTTTTTTGTCTGAAATAAACCATAGAATAGAATGAGACGAAGTTCTCGTCCGATGGAATTTACTTCTTTTTTTTTTCTTAAGAAAAAATACAGATAGATATCTGATAAAATATGGGTTTAAAATACTTTATAGACGCGGGAGGTAATAGAATTTATTATATTCTCATAATTGGTATGTTTCTTTAATAGAAACAGATTCATTTCTTGCTTTCTTGTTGTAATTTTTCATATAAAAACTTTAAATATTTTTCCATGACTTTAAACAATGAAAATTAACTTTGATTTCATAGAGTACTATGTGCTTCAAGCTCTTTTCAATTTGTTTTAATAATCTCTCGTTATAGTTATTGATTATTTCGATAAATTAACACGACTCTAAGAAATCTTTATCATCTTCACTTTTAATTAATTTTCAACGTGATGTTTTTATGGATTTCGATTTAGAGAAAAATCAATGAATAGATAGTAAATCTTGATGGATTCTCGTAAATCTCAACCATTACAGAATTTACTAGAGTCCACAAAAATCTGAATAAATCTACTAAATTACACTAGAGTCTGAAAGAATATTAAATAATCTTGACAAATCGAGAAACACCAAGTAAATTCATCAGAAATTAAGAATTCAGAGATAAAAATTTAATGGAAGAAGACTATCACTGGCTAATACTTAAAGATATAATAGTGAAATCTTTTAAGAGAAAAGGCGACTCATAAATCTTGACGCAGTTTAATAAACTGAAATAGATCTCGAATGGATTATTATGAATTTACTATCGTATTTGTTCGATTTCAACAAGATATTAAAATCCAAGGTGCACAGTTTCGTTGTCGAAAAAAAGAAGTAAGACTTATGTGATAGTTATAAAAATTTAAATGTTCAATTATAAGTAACTTAAACGGGGACAGACACATAGATAAACTTAGATGATAACAAAAGCATCTCATAGAAATCAACGCAATGCTTGAGAAAACCTTTATACTAAACGCATTGTATCATGAGACGATTATTTCGTTCCAATCGATCTCAGTCATTCATCTCGACAGAAAACCAATGATGACAGAACTCTCCAAAATCTGTCGATTATTAAAAAAATTCTCTTCATTTGTGAAACTAAAAACTTTTCAATAGTATTTCAATGAAGGTAATTAGTAAGTTATTCGTTATTTCATCGAGATATAACAATAAATAACAAGAAGCAGATGGACAAAATTACATAGAGAATTTTTTATAACAAGTGAATTGATGTGGATAGGAAAAGATTATGTCCATACTCTATTTAAACGATATCTATTTTTATGTAAAAGGTATTATTCATACAATGGGATCTAATTAACTATACTATTGATTATTATCACTATCTCAAAAACCAATTAATCCAGAAGAATTCAATCTCTCAATTTTCATTAATCATCATTGCAATAAGTCAAGCAATCAAAGAATATAACCAATAGGAGATCGTTAACAAGAATTCAAACAATTACAAATATTTCAAGAACAATAAACATATTAAAATATATGAAAGCGTATGGCATGCGCTAAAGAAATAAAAGAACAGTCGAAAAACTCTTCATCGATGTTGAGAATGTCAATCTGTAGCAGTGCTCTATCAGGTTTGAAGAAATAGTATAAAATCAAACATTTATCCATTAAATAATTAATTTTTAGTTTTTCAGAAAACAACAGAAAAATGTTTAGATTCATCATCAGCATTTTCAAACAAAGCAATCAAAGTTTATGTTCGTCTGATGTTTCTTCGAATAGGTGAAATTGATACGTTAAATGAAAAATATCAAGCACAAGCATCGATAGAATCTCGTTGGTCTGTTGAATTTGACAAATTTTTATCAAATCTATCTTCTGATGAACAAACACGTCTAATACAAGGAAAATCTATATCGCTTATTAAATATGCTGAATCTAATTGGCATCCTCAATTATATATTGAAAATATTCTAAGTGATTTAAAAGAACAACTAAAATATAGTGCAAAAATATGTAAAGCAGATAATCAAATATACATTTGTGAACATCGTGATATTAAAGGTTTATTTTGGGAAAAACTTGAATTACAACATTTTCCATCAGATGTTCAAGAATTATCGATATCAATTGGTTCGATGCTTTATGATGATAAAGTTTTATTAATTGCTGATCCTTATTATTTAAGTGGAATTAATCGAGAAGTATTTGTCGATCAACAAGAATGGTCATTATATGAACATGTTGATACTAAACAAAGATATATAAAAGAATTTTTATTTCGAGGTGGTGATGAAGAAGAAGATAACGATGAAGATGAGTATGCAACTACTGGTAGTAATAAAGAACGGAAGCGTTCGATTTTAACTGTAACTTGTCATGCAGGTTGGTATTTAGTCAGAATAGAAATGACATGAATAAAACATTATTTTCATATTTAAAGCTCGTCGATCAAATTACTTTTATTGGAATGGATATTGTTTGATATTTCTAATTACTATAGTATCATTTTGCATATTTGCTATCCCACCAAAGTGAGCTATTATTTCAATATTATTAATTCAATTTCTTTTTTTATATTCAAGTTTATCAGCTAATCGTCTTCAAATTTCTTGTACACTTCTGTTAACGTCCATCACTTTTCGATGGACAGTAAACAGATCACTAGTAAGTTTGATTCTTCGTTGTTGTTCTCATATTGATTGACTCTGTGACATTAGCCTACAATATCATATTTAACAGCAATGGATAAATATGCTATAATGTGCCTTTTTATTCTTGTTATTCTTTCTATTTGGCATGCAATCATTGGTGGGTTAATATTTAGATATACGTCTGATTTTCATGTAACTTCAATAACATGGTTGATAAATTTGGATCGATATGTTTTGTATACTACTATCAGTATCTATATAATAATTCATGGAATACTTCTTATATGGTTATTTTGTGTTCCATTGAAACATCGTCGGGAATTAAGCCAAAAAGATATTCAATATCGACAATTACTATCGAAAAAACGTCAATCTCCAAAGAAAAAATTAAAAAATAATTCCGATTATATTCCAATTTCAGTATAAAGTTTTTTGTTTTCTTTTAATAGATATTTTTTTTTATTTGTGTGTTATAATCGTGATGACTAAAGATGTATTATGAATAGAAAAAAAAAGAGAAAAAGGGTTGAAAAAACAAAAAACATAAGTTAATTGAGTCTGAAAATGGTTTGTGCTATGGATAAAGTAATTATGCTTCTTCTTCTTTATGTTCTTTAGCAGATTTGAGTTGAACTTGATCACGATAGTTGATATTTTCTTCTTCTTTTTGTTCTTTGAGTGCAAATTTATTTGTCGATTGTTTTAAGTTAGCCATATTAATAAAATTAGGTTCATCTTCTTTTGGTTTTTTAATTTTATTCAACCTGATTTTATTTAAATATTATATGTTAAAATAAGAAGAAAATAAAATAATTGATAAAAACTTACTTCTGTTCAGTTTTTGAGACTTTTTTAAGTGATGGTTTAACGAATTTACCTTTAATATCATTGATTTTAATTGTTAATTCATTGATCTAAAACAAAGAAAAACAATAAGAACGTTTAAATGATATTTTTGTGTTTTATTTTATACATCATAATCTTGTTTCCGGATTTTAAATTCAAAATCATAACGACTTTCTTCATTTGTTTTTATTTGATTATGAAGATCTTGACAAAGTGATTTAAGTTGAGCTAGAAGAAAATTTTCATTTTATTTATTTATTTTTATTTTATTTGAAGAGATTTTCTTTAATATTCACCATCACTCATCGAATGAAGATCATCAAGTGGTTTTAAACGTTGTTCAATATAATTTTTACGTGCTTCTAAACGACGTTGTTGTTCACCTTTAAGATTTTCCGTGGCCATTTTCATAATCAAAAGCTTAATTAATAAAATATTCAAAGCTTTAAAAAAATTAAAAACTTAATACAAACACGAAGTTTTCGTTTTTTTTCCGGTGTTAAACCAAAACGCTTCTTTTTCTCTGCTGCATCTCGAGCCTCTTGACGTTTACGTTCACGATCGGCTTTCTTGCGTGCCTTCTTTTCATCTTCTGTAAGTTGTCGATCCTATAGACAAATAGTTAAATCGATTTTTCTAAACAAGTACAAAAGACTTTCTGCCAGATACAATACATGCCATGCTATGCACAAGATCCACATTTCAAATTTTATATGTAAATTTTCTCCTTATTATTTAATTTTTTTTGTGTATTATTATTGTCCAGCAAGCAAATCATAAATTTGTCGTTTTTTCATGATTATTAAAGAATTAGAAATTTTTATATATAGAATTGTAAACAAAATCATGGAAAAACTTTAGTTTGATAAGAAGTATATTAATGTATGCAATATCATGCAATTTGAGCTTGTGTATGCTGCTCATCTTATAGTTTTTTTTGTATTCGTGCAAACAGACAACATGCGAATTTTTATTTTTAGTTGAATAAATATATTTACAGATATAAAATAGACATGCATTACATTCAGAAAAATTTCATTTTTTTTATTGTGAAATTTTATTTGTGCTATTTGTTACCTCGTCAGCCATTTTTTTTTGGTTTAACTAAGAGTTGCTTGGTGTCTTTTGTTGATCTCGTAAAGCAGCGAAAGAGAAAAGAGAAAGAGACAAACACTAGATGATGCTGCTAGTACTAAACACTTATTCTTCGCTTTTCTTGGCAATATCAACCCACGTATAGGCCACAAAAAGCCAGAAACATAAAGAAAAATAGACCGAGAGAGAGAGAAAAAACGACGACGACGACGATGATAATGATGATGTCTTGTTCCTAAAATATCTATATGTATGAGTATATGCAGCATTGCTGGAACGAGAGAAAGAAAAACAGCAAGTCTCTTGCTACATTTTTGCGTGGACGTGCATCGACTATATCGACAACAAATAGGAATGCTCGTTATTGTTCTATCCCATCCTGTGCATTTGTACAAGCCGTACACATATACGGATACATATGGATATAGAATTGGATGAGAAAAGAGAACGAGAAATAGACCAATATTTTATCTTTCCTTATTCTTATGAGATAATAAATTACAATAGGAATTTTTCTTTCAGATACTAATATACAAGTTATAAATACAAAATAACAAAAATGGTGATTATAAAAAAAAGACGTTCGAGACTCTTTTATTCTTTATATTATTCTCAAATATCTCATATTTCTTTCTATTAATTTCATACGTTTTTACAAGAAAAACTTCTCAGCAGCATATTGAAAAGATTTCATCATAAGATAGTAATAATAACCTTGACGAATGGCGCGATAAATAATCTATATATAAATTTTGCTTTTCTTCTAATGCCCTTTAATAGAAATATTCACAGTAAACAACAATTGTCCCCTTAGCGCCAACGTAGTCGAGCTTCAAAAAGAAATCAACTGACAGAAGAAATGTTAGAAATATACTACTAGGATATTGATTATATCACATGCTTATATTCAATAAAAGCAAAAATAGATATATAATTATAAAACATAGTCATCTGTTTACAAGTAGACTAAATGGATGTTCACTTTCTAATGATGATCATCATATTCAAGGGTATGAGAACACAGAATATGTGAACAGAAAAGAAAAGAAAAGATAATTATTTCATAAAACCAAATGTTTAAATTATGATTATTATAAAAGAATAGTCTTTAAATGAAAATCAAACAATGAAAATGACACTTTGATCGTTATATTTGTTCTACTGTGGATAAAACTAAAAAAAAAATTCAGGGACCTGTTTCTAAAGATGTTCATATTAATTTTTATTCTTCTTCATGATGATGTTCGCCTTTAGTTGATTTAAGTTGTATTTGTTCTCGAAAATTAACTTTATCATCATCTTTATGTTCATCTTTTAATGCAAATTTATTAGTTGATTGTTTAAGATGAGCACGAAAATCAATTTCTTCTTCTTTTGGTTTGTGTAATTTTTGTAATCTGAAATTAATTTGAAAAATAAAATTTCTCATTCGATAGACAAAAACAAATATTTTACTTTTGTGTTGTTTTTGATACTTTTTTCAATGTTGGTTTTATAAATTTTCCTTTAATATCATTTACTTTAATTGTTAATTCATTAATCTGACAAAAAAAAAGAAATAAATTTCTTCTTTTCATTTACTAATAAAAGAAATAGATTTACATCATAATCTTGTTTTCGAATTTTCATTTCAAGATCATATGCTGCTTCTTCGGTTTCAGCCAATTGTTTATAAAATTCTTTAACTAATGAAACAAGATGAGCTTCATTAAGAGAATTAAGATCATTCGGAATTGCTCTAACACGTTCTTCGATATAGTTTTGACGAGCAGCTAAACGTTCTTCGGCAGCATTTTTTAAATTTTCTGTTGCCATTTTCATAATAAGAAGCTAAGTATTTGATAGATTAAAATGAAACAATTTAATTCTATTCTCAAAAAAAAAAAAAAAAAAGAAAAAACCTAACCCGAAGTTTACGCTTCTTTTCAGGTGTCAACGCAAAGCGTTTCTTCTTTTCAGCTGCATCACGAGCCTCTTGACGCTTACGTTCACGATCGGCTTTCTTTCGTGCTTTTTTCTCTTCTTCAGTTAATACACGTCCCTAGAAATTTAAAAAAATAGATTAAATTAAATGTTAAAAAGTCCACTGATACTTGTTTTCATTTTATTCATTGATAAAAACTGATCAGTCATTATTCGTTAAACAGAATCATTTAGATTATGAAAAAAAGTATTTTTAGCAATTGTTATCGCACAAGAATTCTTTGTTTTTTGTTGATCATATTCAGAAATCTATATAAAATACAATATTTTTCTTAATCGTTCATAAAACTTTGTTCTACTGTTTTACAGTAACACAAAATAAGAATGAAGTAGCATTTTGTGTCTTTAATTTGCTAAGAAGAAACTTTTTCGGATTCATATTGATATAAACCATTTAGTAGAGATACAAGTAGTAATTTAATGTATAAATTGTTTCGTTAAATTTAATATAAAAAAAATTCTTTTGTTCACATTACCTCGTCATTCATTGTTGCTCGTCTATAATTGTTGTTGATAATATTGTTATTTGTTGTCTATGAGACTAGCAAATAATGTTATCTGTTGATGTCGAAGAAATCGAGACAAAGAATGCTGATCACATTTTTTTTCTACATATTCCCCTTTTCTCCTAAATATCACATATTGCTTTTCTGATATCATTAAAAATACACGAGAGAAATCTCTCATTCGATTTTGGTCTTTGTCTCGTCTCATAGCGATTCATATCGTTTACATAAACATACACATTTGTTCATGTATACGATTGTCAACCACCAGATGTGACACTAACTAATACCAACTCAATAAAAATATCTTCATAGAAATATATAACAGCGGATCATTATATATTTCTGTAGACAAAAATAGACTATTCATTAGTAGTCTACAACACAAAGCAAACAACAGACAATTTGCAATAGATAAAAAGAAATTTTCTACATCGAATATGATTTTAGATCTTTATCTGTTGCTGGTATTTGATCCATTATTCTTATTGGATGTTGGAAAAAAAAGTATTATACAAACAAAATAAAACTCTTACCATAGACAAAATGACATGTTAATTTTACTTTGAAGATCACACAATTGTGAGTTATTCTACTCATATCATTAATATCATAAAACGAGACGAGATGTTAAATCATCAAGATTTTCATTTTTAAAATTTTTAATAGAATGAGCCGTGATATATGAGCATCAGAAGATTGATCAGCAACAAATTTTGCTTAAAAAATTTTCTGTCGATTTCTATGAAAATGAAATATTTTATTTGTATACGGCGATTCATTTCGTATTTAATATCCTTTGTTTTAGATGCTCATTTGGATGTGACTACAGAAATGCTATTGAAGTGAAGCGATTCACAATTTTTTTCTGATATCGCAAAGTCGCACGGATGTGTAGAATATTTCAGAATTCATTAACGTAACAGAGCTGACAATCAAAACACTTTTTTTAACTCAACTTCGATAGCAGCAAGTTTTCAGCGTTGATGAATATCTCTGTATACTTAAGAATCATTGTTTGCGTTAGAATCGATAGCAGAAATACATCATCGATATTTAAGAACATAAACTAAACTCCTTTAGAAAATGTGTAACATCTGCACAGAAAGTGAATTTTTTTCATACATTTTCATTCTGATCTTCGAATTCTTGATTCTGTCACACTAATGAATAAAATGAAAAAAAGTTCACTTTAAGTTTCGTATATATGACATAAAATTTTGCTTATTAAATTTCCAATTGTTTTTTCAATGAAGGATAATATTTGTTTTTTGATGAAATATTAGATAGAGATATTGTCTTAATTTCATATAAAAACAAAGAATAAATACGAGTATAAAAATCTAAAGAATATTACTTGTACATGAACATTATATTCAAATGATTTTCTTATACTTTCATTAATATCATAGTTCGAAACTTTCTAAATCTTCTCTATCACAATTGAATCTAATTCTTCTAAATAAAAAAACGTTGAAATTATTTCTTTATCTGTTAAAATTTCTGATTGTACAAATCCTTTTGCAAATTTTCTTTCGTCGTTGATGAAAGTCGAATAAGTTTTTAAAGGTACACTGAACATTTATCAAATTATGTCTGGTATTATCGTTGGATTATGTTTTACATCTATTTTTAACTTATGCTCAACAAATGTTACATAATTCATTATGTTTTGAAACCGTGGTCAAAATTATCTAGATCAATTCTAAGTAATTCTAAAGTTTATAATCCATACATTACATTTTTATTCGTATGTTCTAAACATGCTGATGTTAATTGTGCTTGACATTCAAATGCAAAGCTACAACATTTTTTGCAGCATATTATATTGACATAATTGTAGAATATATTACTGATAATGATGGATGATTATAATTACAATGAAGAAAATGAAGTAATGTAAGAAATTCTTGAGATTCTATATAAAAATTATTAATTCAAGAAGGATTATTTCATTGAAACATAGCTTTACATGCACAATAACTAATACATAAAACAAATTTATGAACAGAAAAATCTTTATTACTATTAGATAATTCAAAATCTGCACAAATATATATTTATTTAAACATAATATTGTTTAATTTTAGACAATTATTGAGAAATCATTTTAAATACTAAAACTTAAAATAAAATTTATCGATTTATAATCATTGAATAACAAAAAATGATTATTTGTTTTTTTTCATCAATGTTATGATTATTCCGATTTAGGAATGCAACTGTTATCAAGAACATGATGTCAAAGATGACATTTTTTTCCTTGTTAAGAATGTAGTTCCTGTGGATTGTTTATATCAACTATGATTAACTGTTTTTTGTTCTATGTGAGAGTTGTAGTCGAAATAAATCACATAGAAAACAGAAATTTCAGAATTGGTTGAAAGTTTTGCATTTTTTTATTTTTTTTTTCAACTGATTTTTGGATCTATATTTTGCATTAGACAAAACTTAAACAAAATTTGGAAAAGAGCATTCAAAATTCTAATTAAAAATTCAAGGAATTAGTTTATCCCTACTTACAAATAGACATAATCATTATTAAGAATTACTGGATTCCTACCTATTCTTCATGTTTGTTGAGATCAGTTTTGAATACTCTTTCCGACCGAAGTTATTCTTCAATTTTCTCTATTTCAAAATACAGATCTCAACATCAGTTTAAATCGGTCGCAAAACACTAAAAGTTATGCATTTTCTACCGATTCTGAATCTTTTGTTTTCTATTTCATCATGTATTTCGACTATAACTTCGGATAGAGAAAAAAACTGATCATGGTTAATATAAACAATCCACAGGAACTACATTCTTAAGAAGGAAAAAAATGTCATTGTTGACATTATGTTCTAGAAATTGATGCATCCCTATTCCGATTATTTCATGTTATAACATTTATAGATAGAAGACGACTAGTAAACTTGGTAAGTTATAGGAAAGAACGATGTGTGTCTAGAGTTGTTGAATGCTTTTGATAATTATAAAGAGAAGTTAGTAGATGAAAATATACAAATAATGAAGAAAATCTGATTTTCGACATCATCATATTTTAGTGTCTATTGCATGAAAGATGAGTCTCTCAATTTAGTTGTCTTTTAATAATATTCTGAAACTATTCAACTAAGCAAAATCTTATTGTTTATTTTGTTTTTCATAATTCTAGAAAATGAGTTTCATTAAATAATGTGTCATCATTTCTATTCGAAATAAATAAACAATACAAGAAATCATAGAAAAACTAACAGTAAAAAATTGTCTATTTTATTGAAAGGAAAAATTAAAGAAGTTTAAAAAGAAACTAATCTATGATTTGTAGGTGAAAATATTTCAATGGTAGATTGTCGAAAAAAACATCGATGTTGACTATAGATTAATTGTAACCTTTAAAAATGACTTAATGTTCATTAAATTTTCTAATTTCAAACAAACAACCGAAATCACCAAAACACTGAAACATAACCTAAAAATGAATGTTGAAGTGTATTCGGTAAAAGTTTGTCTCTCCCTCCCCCCCCCCCCCTGACCGTATATTGATATCGTCTCTTTCTAATATTTGAACTACTTGTTTATTACATTTATAAAGAATTAAGTAAAAGAATGGTGAAGAAATATGTTCCAAAATAGATAGAATAGAACAATCTTCTGAGATTAGTAACATTTAGTTTTTTTTTTTCAAAATAACCATAATAATGAAAGAAATAGAAACTCGACTTAGAAAGTGAAACAAATTTTTCGAATTTCCCCTAGCTGTCTCATACCAATCGCATAATAATATCCTTCAAATTCAATAACAACTTTACACAACAAAGTAAACTAATCGACAATCTAATATTATCATTCAATAATAAAACAGCTTACAAATTGAACGTCACACGAGTTTCATACATATTTCTTCGTGCTAAATGAGATTTCATTCGTGATAATCCTATTCAATAGTTTTAATCAACCATATAGAATTTATTCATAAGACTTCAAACAAGTCTCACACATCATGCTTCATTAAAACCGTTAAAATCTTGATGAAAAATTAGAAAATCAAAAAACTTTCATTTTATTTTCTAATTCTAATCGATAGCATTTTATATCAACACCAGTGAGTATTAAATCGTATTATTGCAAATATGATGATTCCGCTAAAAGAAATCGATTTAGTAACAAATATATATATATATATATGTTTATCCATAACGAAAAAATTTGTTTACAAAGAATGATTAAAATTGTCTGAATAGCAACATTATGTACATCTCAAAGCTTTACACCTCAGAAAAAAATGACGATAATCTCATTATCTCCCATAATATATGTGCTAATTCTATCAAGAAATATAAAATTTGCTATTGAAATTTTTCATGATTAACTAATTAAAATAAAACAATCGAAATGATTGTTATTTTTTATAGTTAGAAAATTGAACGGTCTACATTAAATCTTGAAAACAAAACTCATTTGAGCATATAGACAAATAAAAAATTATTTCTACAATTCATAGTTGTTTTCATTCATATGTACATATGAGCCAGTCCGTGTAAGCCACGACCGAATCACTGAGGAGCTGTTCAATCGAGGTCGTCAGATCTTGTTCATTTTCTGATCTGTTGTAGAGGGAAGAGTTCTAAGAATATTGGTGAAAGAATTTTGAAAATCCATTGAGCCGTTCAGGTTTTATACTGGTTTTACAGAAACCCCTAAAAAGTGCCAGTTTTCGAAGTGCATATCTAAATGTCAGTATATCTCAACAACGGCTCTATAGATAATGCTCAAATTTNTCAATGGATTTTCAAAATTCTTTCACCAATATTCTTAGAACTCTTCCCTCTACAACAGATCAGAAAATGAACAAGATCTGACGACCTCGATTGAACAGCCTCGGTCGTGGCTTACACGAACTGGCTCATATATATAATATGTCTAAAGGCTAACCGGCATCAAGTCATTGATCTATATGTGTAGAGATTGTTTTATCGGCTCACTTTGTATTTGA